CATCAACATTGACGTCCTACTGTTACAGTGGTACAAATGGCTCGAGAACATCATCGACGAAAAAATACCCCGAGTCACCAAACACAGGGCAGAAATTCCAACCTGGATTAGATCATCCACCTCACATCAAATGAAGATAGTCGCGACAATGAAGCGTAAATACGCAAAAGCAAACTCACTCTCGCTACTCCTGAAAATCAAAAAAGCTGAAAAAAGCCTGACCGAAGAAATCAAAATGGATCAAGCCATATTCGAAGCTAAAGTATTCAAGAGCCGCCGTCTGATCTTCAGAAATACTTGAAATCGATACACAAAAAGCATCCCCTACCAGACGAAATGTTCCTTAATCAATCACCGGACACAACTGAAACAGCAGTAAACAATAAACAAAAATGTTCTCTGTTTAACAAATTTTTCACCCAAGTTTTCAGCAAACAAGGTGAACTACCCGGCAAACAAACTTACATAAAATCAGAAACAAACCGCCTGAAACTATCCGAGGAAGAAATAACCAGATGCCTCCAATCACTGAAAACAAAAAAAGCATGCGGTCCGGACAACATTGGAAACATTATCCTGAAACACGCGACATCACTCGCAAAATCTCTAAAGCTCTTTTTTCAAACCTGCATTAATAAAGGATCATTTCCACGCCGATGGAAAACCAGTGAAATAACACCAGTCTTTAAAGAAAACAAAAAGACAGACATATCGCAATACAGACCCATCAGTCTTTTGGCAAATGTGTCAAAGGTATTTGAAAAAATACTCTTCGACCGATTATATCCAACAATCGAAACTAAACTACACCCAGCACAGTTCGGTTTCAGAAAAAACAGATCAGCGATCATACAACTTCTGTTGTTTCTGAACGAAATTTTTCTGGAAAACGACCTCAAAGAAAACGCTGAACTATGGGTCCTATACGTAGACTTCAGTAAAGCCTTTGACAAGGTCCCACATCAACCACTGATATCCAAATATGCAGAAATGGGAATTGGCGGGAAAATCCTTGAACTACTAGCCAGCTACCTAACAGCACGAAAACAATGTGTTAAAATTGATAGAAGCAAATCTCCAGTCACGCCAGTAACAAGTGGAGTACCACAGGGTTCAATACTAGGTCCGCTCATGTTCCTGATATACGTTAACGATCTTCCAGAATCAGTCAAACCGAGCACTTCTTTTGGCTACGCCGACGACTTTAAAGTAATTGCAAAGAACTACGAAGAAGCAATTGTCCTCGGAACGGAAATTGAAAAGTGGAGTCTCAAAAACCAAATGGTACTAAATATGGAAAAAAGTAAGGCACTACGCATTAAAGGAAATACAGAGCCTGTGAGTTCAATAGGCGTGAAAATAGGCACTGTCAACTCCCAGAAAGACCTAGGAGTGATAATGACAAAAAACATCTCGTGGAACGAAAACATTAAACGTAGGACCGGTAAAGCATGGCGAGCCTTCTTCAACCTCAAACGTAACATCTCATGCTATGCAAATCTCGAAACAAAATTGAACGCTTATGTAGGTTACGTCGTCCCTGTCATTTCCTATGCATCGCAGGTATGGTACCCATCAAAAACCGAAATGCGGGAAATCGAAAGAGTTCAACAAAAAGCTACTACATGGATACTTAACTACTCCATCGGATACAAAGAGAGACTACGTACCCTGAAGATCTTACCACTCTCAATGTACATCGAACTCCATGATATAGTGTTTCTTCAATCGGTCATGGACGGTAAATACAGCGTCAGTGAAGATTCAATTCCAATATCACTGAGAGAAAGCACCACGAGACAATGCAGCGAATTCGAGCTCAACAAAAACCGCATCAGCAAAACAGACGAAAATTTCTGGACGAGAGCCCCGAAACTTTTCAATATACTCCACAAACAGTTTCGCGACAACCCGACGAAAAAACAACTGACAGAAAGTTACTTCAACTGCTTTGAAAACAGTTACAATCAGCTAGACACATGCACCTGGCGTGTACTGTGTTCCTGTGGATCGTGTAACCCCTACCAAAAACTCATGCCAGCTGAAAACTGAAGGGTTGACACCCCTGTGCCAATGAGCCCTAAAGTCTCTACTACTACTACTACTACTACTATATGTTACATATGGTGCAGCACTCCTGCTGCTTCGATGCTAGTCGAGTTCTAGCTGACGATCCAGGCATAACGTTATATGAAACTATTTATTTTCATACCACGGCGCTTGTAATTATTCTAACGATATTCTTGATTGTTTTGCATACTTCAATGGAATTCATTTCGTAGAATCCCCCACTCATGTCAGACAGAATATATTAGACCTTTTTATATGCAATAAGCCTCAATTATGTTCTCTAGATGTTTTATCTGAGAAATTCAGTTCGGACCATTATCCTTTAAGAGATTTTTTGATGTGAATTAATTAACAACAAAAGTCGTGTCTTTTCGGTTAGACCCCTCCCACTCCTAAATGGATAAATTTGGCAATTCAAATATCGAGTTGAAATTGAAAGCGGGAAAGAGTGAAACAAGCATTTAAACACCACTCGCGTGCAAATAGCAGCTGCTCGATTAGGATTCATAGTAATCCTTAGAATGAATTCTAATCGAGCAGCTGCTGATTGCATGCGAGCGGTGTATGATTGTTTGTTTCACTCGCTTTCAATTTCAACTCGAAACTTGAATTGCCCAATATAATATATCCGTTTAGGGGGAGGGGGTATAACCGAAAAGACCCCAAAAGTCCGACTACAACAGGGATTTGACCCCTTCACCAACCAAAGGGGCCCTCTTTTGTAATTTTTTTGATATCCGTTTTTGGCCGACAAACCCTAAAAACAAAATTTTTTCAATATAAAATAATTTTAAAAGAAAGCACTCGCTGAAAAACGCAATTTTTTTATCAAAATTTTTCAAAAATCCCAAAAACGGCACTTCGACATTTTTGGCCTGTTTTTTTTGTGTCTAGGACAACAAGCCGACGGGACTTCAAGCCGAAAATTGAACTTTACAAGCACCTCAAATCAATATTTTTTCATCTGTAAAACGTTGCTTTTCAAAATTTTACGCTAGTTTAGTCCATAATAAGCGTTATTCATGATAATGCACCATTTGGGATTGGTATCCATTGATAACATCAGCCGGTTTTTGAAATGCATAAATTATGAACATGAAAAACGCCTTCAACCATGTTTTACTTTTCAATTTTCCGAAACATCCTTTGGAGGCTTAAATTTAATGAAAACGCAAATAACTAGTGATGAAATTCAGAGTTTTCAAAAGTTTTCTCATAAAAGTTTTCAAGTTAATCATATTTCATGACTTAATGAGAAAATTTTCGGCTTGAAGTCCCTAATTTTACGGTTCGGCTTGAAGTCCCGTTGGCTTGATGTCCGGCACCCGTTTTGTTTTACACATTTTTTTCATTCTCCCTCCCCGCCCGCTCGACTTTAATTCGGTTGGGGGCCCTTAATTTGGGCCTTCAGTTTGGGACCCCTTAATAGTTTTTTTTTGTTTAACGGGGCATTGTGGTAAATGTGGGTAGGGGGAGGGTATGTGTGTATGTGTGTGGGTAGGGAGTGGGTATGTGTGTGGGAGGGGGAGAAAGGGGTTACCCTAAATAAGAAAACAATGTTTTTAAGTAAGTTTGTAGGATCTCTTTAACTATTTCACCCCTATGGTACGAATCATAGTAGTACCCGAATCTCTCCCCTCTATTAGAAAATAGGTAAGGGGGGCTAATTGTTAAGTAGATCCGAAATTGCGGCTAACTGGGAATAAATTTATTTTTTGATGTGAATTAATTAACAACAAAAGTCGTGTCTTTTCGGTTAGACCCCTCCCACTCCTAAATGGATAAATTTGGCAATTCAAATATCGAGTTGAAATTGAAAGCGGGAAAGAGTGAAACAAGCATTTATACACCACTCGCGTGCAAATAGCAGCTGCTCGATTAGGATTCATAGTAATCCTTAGAATGAATTCTAATCGACCAGCTGCTGATTGCATGCGAGCGGTGTATGATTGTTTGTTTCACTCGCTTTCAATTTCAACTCGAAACTTGAATTGCCCAATATAATATATCCGTTTAGGGGGAGGGGGTATAACCGAAAAGACCCCAAAAGTCCGACTACAACAGGGATTTGACCCCTTCACCAACCAAAGGGGCCCTCTTTTGTAAATTTTATGATATCCGTTTTCGGCCGACAAACCCTAAAAACAAAATTTTTTCAATATAAAATAATTTTAAAAGAAAGCACTCGCTGAAAAACGCAATTTTTTTATCAAAATTTTTCAAAAATCCCAAAAACGGCAATTCGACATTTTTGGCCTGTTTTTTTTTGTGTCTAGGACAACAAGCCGACGGGACTTCAAGCCGAAAATTGAACTTTACAAGCACCTCAAATCAATATTTTTTCATCTGTAAAACGTTGCTTTTCAAAATTTTACGCTAGTTTAGTCCATAATAAGCGTTATTCATGATAATGCACCATTTGGGATTGGTATCCATTGATAACATCAGCCGGTTTTTGAAATGCATAAATTATGAACATGAAAAATGCCTTCAACCATGTTTTACTTTTCAATTTTCCGAAACATCCTTTGGAGGCTTAAATTTAATGAAAACGCAAATAACTAGTGATGAAATTCAGAGTTTTCAAAAGTTTTCTCATAAAAGTTTTCAAGTTAATCATATTTCATGACTTAATGAGAAAATTTTCGGCTTGAAGTCCCTAATTTTACGGTTCGGCTTGAAGTCCCGTTGGCTTGATGTCCGGCACCCGTTTTGTTTTACACATTTTTTTCATTCTCCCTCCCCGCCCGCTCGACTTTAATTCGGTTGGGGGCCCTTAATTTGGGCCTTCAGTTTGGGACCCCTTAATAGTTTTTTTTTGTTTAACGGGGCATTGTGGTAAATGTGGGTAGGGGGAGGGTATGTGTGTATGTGTGTGGGTAGGGAGTGGGCATGTGTGTGGGGGGGGGGGGGGGGGGAGAAAGGGGTTACCCTAAATAAGAAAACAATGTTTTTAAGTAAGTTTGTAGGATCTCTTTAACTATTTCACCCCTATGGTACGAATCATAGTAGTACCCGAATCTCTCCCCTCTATTAGAAAATAGGTAAGGGGGCTAATTGTTAAGTAGATCCGAAATTGCGGCTAACTGGGAATAAATTTATTTTTTGGCTATCCGGAAACGAATTTAATTTTTGGCTATCCGAGTGTTCGGCTCCGTGACACGCCACCTATTTACCAACCCAGATCTTGTATAATTTTTTTTTCTGCACATAAATTCCATTAAAAAATGAGATGCCAAATGCGCTTTCAGTTTTCATTTAATTCACACTTTTCGCTGTATTTTAGCTTGGTTTACTGTTCGAGATATCAACCCTGCATTTCTAAGTAAAATCAGTTCAATTTTGTCATGAAAGTTTTTCATTTTCATTTTTTATCATTTAGGGGGTATAACCGGAAAGACTCATAAGTTTAGCTTTTCAATATTTCTTTACTAACTTAAGGGGCAGTCGGAGCATTCGGAACTTTGCCCTGGTATTAGAGGAGTCTTGTTCTTTTTACTTAAAAAGTTTGTTCGGCTTTAATGGTTTCCGCTTTAACTATATCTGCTTAGTCACGTAATATAGCGTTGTTTGCATAAAGAATTCACTTTTGACTCTTTGTGTTTCCCGATAGGGAGGAGTTTCAGAACTAAATAGCTCAATTTTTTCAAGGCAAAATTTTTGTTTTTGGTTTTCTGAGTGCTAGTTTAACGCTGGCTTTACTGTTCGTCGACATGTGTTCTCAAACTGAACATCATTTGTATGAAATATTGGTCGATGTAATTTGTTCAAATTTTTTATCGACTTATAAGCTTCGTCTCTTTTTCCGTCCGCTAATTCAATTTTATGGCTGTTTGGTATCACAAGTGGTGCGAAGCTTCCGCTTTGCCTCTCAGCAAAGTTAGTTGGCAATGTTGTCAACTCCTGTTGTTTTTATATGTCCGAGTTTAACCGGAATTGGGAAGTCCATCTTCATGGAAGTTCTGCATTTTTTGCCGATTTTTATGAGTTCCCTCTTGTCGTTTGGACTGACTATGGTCTGACATGCGACGAAACCAGGAAGTCTAGATTTATATCATTAGCGAAATGGAACATGGGAGCTAGAATTGCTCTGGTAAATTAAAAATTTTACATTCAAACTCCAAGTGGAAAGAAAGGGTTACTGGGAAGTAAAGCAATCGAAAACACGTTTTAGAGCTTCAGTTTGTTTACTACAAAGATTGCTATTTGAGCAAGCTAGAGGCTGTTTATTTCTAGTAATTATAGCCTTTACGTTACAAAATCCAACGGAGCTCTTTGAGAGAATTCGCTACTTTGATATAAATCATTGTCTCAGAATGTGTATTGGCTTAATTTAAGTGGTTAAGTCAAATACTTTCTGGCAACTAGTGTGGTGCCTCTTATTTAAGTAAAGTCAACCGGGCAGCGACAAGAAAGCGCCGTGGGTTTAATTTCTTGTGCGGTGATAGTTAACTCCCAAATTGAGGCATATCAGTTGCCTATGTCCACTTTTTGTTGGTCTATTAAAGAGTTCTTTACTTACCTTTCTCTCTCTCTCTCACTCACAACCAACCCTATTCCCATGTACAGCTCCTAAACTCAATTTCGAGTTTTCCCTCAAATTGCGCCGACTAAATTGATTTAGACCAAAAATGAAGTGGGCAAGTAAGCAGTTAATTTACTCCCTCCCATAGATGAAAACCTTTTTAGTTTGTCCTCAAATAGCTGCGACACGCTCCAGGCAAGAGCGCAATTTAAACGGAGTTTAAAATTTGCTTCAAAATGCAGACCACATCTAAACACACATACACTGTTACGATATCGTCTGCGTCCTTATTCCATCTTACTTAAAATCTACCTGGACCTAATTTCACTCTTCATTTATTTTTCTCTGCCTCTTGTCAGCTACGCGAACAATTCGAGGCCACTTCTATCAAACATTGCACCAGAATTTTTGTATGGTTATCCGTAATTATTAAACATAGGTGCGTCCATACTGAGCTTAATGCAATGAGGCTTGTGTGGCAAAATTCCAGCTTCAATTTTCCACAGGCGGATCAATCATAAAACACGAGAAATGCATTATTGATTCCGCTTGCCTTAAAACGAACAGGAATTCAAAAAATGTCACTATTTTTTGTTTCCATCTGTCCTTTGTTTGTTTTTCTTTGTCTTCTTTTACTGATGCACAATAAGAAGTATTGGGACTGAAGACAACTCACTTATTCCATAGATCTTTTGCCATGGGTCACACCAAGCAAGTTCCCTTTGCACGGAATAACCCTCACCCGTATCCTATGACGGGATGGGAAGTCGCAATCTATTTCCTCATTTTGCTCCTCCTGTGCTCGTTACTTTTATTCGCCGTAAGACGATACTCTTACGTTTTGGTAGAAGTTATAATAGCCCTGTATTATATCCTAGACTCCATATCTCTAGCCGTTATTGGTAAGTATATTCAAAGACAATTCAATCATTGTGTTTTGATAGCTTATTGAGTCCAAATGTAATCAATGAAAGTTACTGAATAATGGGTCTAGATAATTGAAACAATCTCCTCGACACATGTTCAAAAGGTAAAAGAAGTCACAAGTTTTTTGACTGATAATTTGCTCTTTGTCTCCATAAGTTCAATCTCATTGTGGTAGAAAAATAACAAGTGTGCTCAGATCAAGGCAAAGTGGTCAATATTACGACTGCTTTATACGTTTCTAGAGCAGTTTTTTTGGCAAAAATGGTACAATTAAAAAAATTCAGATTTTTCTTTTTAGCATAAACATCCTCCACTCTCTGTCAACCGTCAAACAGAATGGTAGGTAGTTTTTGCGTCTTATAACGCATTTTTTTTGGTTCAATGCGGTGCGGTAGCAGCAATTCAACTGTGTTCTGAGGCGGATTAATCCGCTGGGTTGATCGAAATGGAAGTTTCACACGAATTAATTATTCCAATTTGGCAATCGTCAAAGCCCCATAACATTGCAAAAAATAGGCGCAGTTAAATATGTTTTTCATTTGAGCTCAGAGCAGCAATATTTTTAGAATATAAAAAGTCTGCCGAAAATTGCTAACTTGAAGGTCAAAATTTGTCTAGAGAAAAACCTACAAGCGCTTGAATTTTCCCTCTATTCCAAGTTTGCTCAAATTGGGGAAATTTTTCAGAAAATTGTCTATCATAAATTGTGCTTGAAATTGCTAGAGCTTTTAGGCCATCTATACTTTTTCTTTGAAATTTGAAACTTGAGATTTTTTCAAAAAACAATTCGAAATTTTTTGTTTACTTGCGTTCAACTGATTCTTCCAACTGTCTGTTGGCGATCTTTTGAGTTTTGAGGTTACAAAAAACGTTTTTGTCATTAAGTTTACGCGGATTTAAAGTTTCCGGTTTTCCAGCGGAATAAAAAGTTTACACTGTTCGATTTTCTAAAATTGGGTTGATTTTAATTTAAAAATGAAATCTTAACTTGTTCTTGAAATTCAAAAGCTTTAAAATCATATTTTTTCTTCTTTGAAATTCGAAAATTGAAGTTGTTTTTAAAAAAACTCAAATATACATTTTTTGTTTCCTTGAGTTCGAGTTCATTGACTAATTTCCAACTGTCTGTTGGCAATGTTTTGACATACTGATGTATTTCAATCGGTTCGATTTTGTTTAAAGGAAACGAAAAGGTTTCAAAACAATTTTTTTTTGGTTTTCTTGAGTTCGTTGACACTTCCAACTGTCTGTTGGCTGTTTATTTCTTGCTACCATATAGATATGTAATTTTTATTTGGAATTTTATTTTCTGCGAAGTAATTTTGCGCTCTCAGAATTACAAGCGCAGTGAAATAAACTTTCTTTTAGTCAGTTTTTTTAATTGGGTGTGTGTTAAAAAACTTTAGAAGCTGAAGAAGCATTTTTCTTTCACGTTTAATTAATTCGATAGTGCCAAGTGTGATATCAGGTTAAAGTTCTTTTAAATGTTCATTCAAAATCAGAACAAGTTCTCAATTTTGTGAAAAACTTATCTGAATATTTCTGTTTTCAATGCTAATTTAGGTAACTTCCCAAATGGCATAAATTTCAAGTTTTTCAAGCCACTCACACTTTCTAAACTAATATTTCTCCTTTTTCGGATCCAGATGTGTGAACAAGATTTGAACTTATTGCTTCCAAACAAATGTTGAGTGACAGTTTTGCTGGAAAAATTGACCACACAAAACAAATTAATAGCCAGTTATGCTTTTGATAAGAATTCTTAAAAAGTTTTCCCGATAATGTCAAGCAACAATTGAATTGACAACCTTACTACTTTTCACACATTGTTCAGTAAAAAAAGAACTATTTTTCAATGCAATTGTTGCATCGAAATTATGCCATTTGGGGAATTTCTCGTTTTATGCCATTTGGGAATTATGCCATTTGAGACGTAATCCTAATTTACTGCGGTGAACGCCTGCATAAGTTTTCATTTTGACCTAAGCTGATAATAACGATTTTTTGACTTAAAATATCAATGAACTTCCTATTCTACCCATGTAAACTGCTGAAACTTCTGAAAGTAAATATTTTTCGAATTTTTCTGCCATTCTTTGTGGTCGGAAAATTCTGTGCTATTTACAAAGAAAATGACTAAACTTGTTTTTTCTCGGATATACTGTTTGAAGAATACCTCATACAGGGTTTGGGTTTCAGGTTACAAATTTAGCCTGCATTTAACTGCTCGCACTCTGTTGTTCGAAATTTGTGGACGAATTTCGAACACTTTTTATTCGAAATTCATCCAAAAAAAATTCACACTTCAATAAATAACGTGATTCAACTCAATGCTTTATACGTTTTAGGACCTCTCAGAATAGTGGAAACTTTTTGGATTTGAGGGTAATATAAGGGAATTTATATTTTGTGGCTTGATTAGGCAATTGTTCAGAACTTGCTCTTGGCAGAACTAATCTTTTTTTATCTAAGCGGATCAACGCCGCATTTTATCAAAACAATATTAGATAATGCTGAGCACATCAAATTTGTCCATGGTCTATTTTTTGTAGTTAAGCCTTTTAATGTCGCCTTTGTACAATTTAGAAGACAAGTGCAAATTGCGCTCCCGAATGAAAATTTAAATATGGTACGAGAAAGTATTTTTTTTTTAAATTGCTTATATTGTGAAAAAATTTAAATTCAAGTTGCACAGCACATGCGTGATGCTCTTGTTTCTGTGTCTTACAAATTTCAGTCAACTTATTTGTTCTTATTGCGAAGTCTGGATGGTATAAGAAATTGCGAAAGTTTATAGGATTGTGTCGTTTACGACATTGATTGGTTGTGTTTTGTAATGTATCGTGACATCATGGGTACTCTGTCTCTTTATAGATTATCCTTGTGCGAAGTGAAGAGAAGAAATCAAGCTTGAGGCTGAAAAAAAGCAACGGTTTTGTGTTTTGATTTGTAGGGAGACCTGACAAAAGAGAGCCACCTGTATCGTCTAAGTGATCTGAATAAAACACTGTTCCGTTATATTTAGCTTGGCTGTTTTTACTGCCTGGACATAAAATAGAAATAAGCTTAGATCGTTTTTTTGTGCGAACATTGCAATCTCGCGGTACGCTCTTATATGTTTTTTTTATGTGAAAATATCCGAGGGAACATTACAATGCGTGTACACGCGCACACAAAATAAGATAAATTAATACTTATCTTATAGTTGTAATGTTTATGTAAAATAGAATTGTGAGTCTGCTGGTATGCTAGTATGCTGTTGGTTGTTACTTAGTACAATTGTCAGATCACACTGAAAGAGCTCTGTTGATAAAATGCTGCGATGTTTGATGCAGTTTTCATCTTAGTAGCATTTAAAAAATTTATCATTACTTCGTTTTGTTATCGAGGTCATCCGGTTACTTTACTTTAATTCACAAAACGCGTGTGTTACTCGAGTGTTAGATAACATGTACAATTTTTGCTCTGTAAATTATGAAGAAAACAGTAATGAAACGACAGGTTTTTGGCCCGTTTCCTGTTCTTATTAAGCTTAAACTAAACCGAATCGTATAAAAGTGCGGCTTCTTTATTTTATTTCTGCATCATATTTTGCTTTGTTGGTGTTATCTGTGCTAAAATGGCAATTACCGAAATGAATTCGAATGTTTCAGACAGTTGGCTGCAAAGTTGCAGGGAAGAGGATAGTTTTTCACAGTCAGCAGAAAAGTTATCAGATAAGCTCAGCCTGCCAATATCAAATCAACAGAATCATCTAGTTCACAATGGAGAACCTAATCAGATTTGCTGGGATGCTGATGAATCAAATTTGGACTCGAGAACAGAAACAGAAAGAAGACTCTCTGGGGATAATAAATCTTCGCATATGCATGTATCAGAATCATTTACTCTAGACAGGTCTGTATTACGTAATAAGAAAGCTTTAAAGAAGTCCTCGATATCATCTTCAAGTGATTCCACGACAACGACACCAACCGAACGGCGAATCAGATTCAGTCTCAATTTTGAACTAGACGACGACTATAATGACCACGAACGGAGTGACCGATCATGTCTTCCGAAGTTATCACCTGTTCAACGAAGTTTAGACGACTGTATCGAGTCGCCGGTGACACCTCGTCGAAAACCTAGAAGCAGTAGTCCCGAGAGCCTCCCGTTTGCCGACGAAGATGAAGACCAAGACGAGTTAACCACGGGGTTTCTCTCTAGTTCACCGCCTTTAGGAACTGTTTCTACGAATCGCTTAGTGACGTCTTCGCCCGGCTGTGACGTAACTTCTGAATTACATCTCGCAGATATGATTGAGTGTGATAATCTGTCCTTTGATGAATCGTTTAGCGAAATATTGAACGGTGTACATCCAGCAGCTGAAGAACAGCAAAGTAGCTCAGTTAATACTGACGGCGAAGTGAATAAGGAAGACTCAGAACTGGATGAATTTCTATCTCTTTTAAAAAAAGACTCTTTACAAAACCAACTTGCCTTAAATACTTAATGTCTTTGAAATGAGTTTTATTTTGTAGATAGCTTTAATTATAAATCTCACATAAATTCTCAGTTGCAATTTCGAAAAGCTAGCTAACAATTTTGAATAGGTGAAATAAAATGAAAATAATTTGCTCAGGTGGGTAGGGCAGCTGAATTTTAACTCCTGAGATTCCAAGTGTATTGAAACCAAGTAGAAGACTTTTTGCCGCAAACAGTTTTCCACGCAGGTCTCATCCATTTTGGACTCCCAGCCAAACAGACTTATTCACAAACAAACATAATTTGAGCGTATTTATTTTTTTTGCGTTCGAATTTTAATTTATTTTTAATTTCCGTCAATTTTTTTTGTTGGCAAACTCCACTATTGAAGGCAAACTCCACTATTGAACAGCAAAATTGTAAATGTTTCAAAAACGTGAACGACATCTAGTTAGGACTTTAATGGATTTGAAACTTTGATTTCAAAAAGTTTCTGTGTTACACTTATACGAGTGTCTTGTAATCGGGAACGAGAACTTTTTCCGTAAACGCTTTTTCTTACACAATTGTAAGAAATTATGAAATTGGCCTATTAGCTAACCTAAGCAATTTCGAGGCTTCTTCCCAATTGACTTGGAGGTAGCGCGGTTGCTTTTGCACCCTAAGGTCTGGGATTCGAGTCCCAGACAGACCTCATTTTTTCAGTACGTATGAAATTGATTTTTTTTTATTTGAACCGGTAAAAGTTGAATTACCGGTTTTTCGTTAAGACTCAGTTGTTAAAATTTCGTATATCAATTTTTTATGGCATTTTCTTGTTTTTGACTCAATGGGCGTTAAATCATTTGTTGTAAGCTGATTGGCCGCTCGGTTAGTGGTAGATATTTATTAAATAATATTAGTTAAAGTTTTGACTGTTTTTCTGAAATAATTTAATTTTTCTCCATTTCTTTTCGTTTTTGTTACTTCCGTTTCCTTACGATTAGCTAGGTTGCAATGCTGCGCTTGCGTGGTATCACGAGGTTTTTGCGTTAAATGAAGAGAACAAGTTGTGGAAAGCTCCACTGCCTCAGCAGTCACTCCTACATTTTTTCACACAAAAAAAATTCGTCATCCGAGACTCATATTTTTGATTTTTTGACAGTATTTGTAGGTTTTTTTTTCAAATAATATCCACCAAAATCTGAGATCTTTGGTTCAATTTAAAGAAAAGATTGTGAAAAATTCTCCTGCATGAGTGCCTAGACCCAAATTTTTACACAAAGTTATGACCATCTGAAATAAAGAACTTCTTTACTTTTCTCAAAAACGACCCTCCCAAAATTGAAATTTTGGTTTCAGTCGAAATAACGGGTTGCGGAAAGCTCTCCTGCATAACTTATTAAGCCCAGCATGATGTCACAAAACTTCTGGGCCTTCGAAAAAGTCGTTTGTTGTTAATTTTTAGCTTTCTTGAAACTATTTGATATTTCTCGAAAGCTGCCCTTTCAAATCTGAGTTTTTTGGTTGAATCTAATTGACAGGTGTTGGGAATTTTTTCTGCTTGAACGAGCTGCTTCTCCCAATTTTTTTTACACAAAGTTGGAAAAGGCGTTTATGGAAAAGGCGTAGTTTTAATGTCCTGACCGTTTTTTGGAAACTTAATGATTTTTCTCGACAACTATCATGCTAATTCTGACAACAAGGGTTGAACTGAAACAAGTTAGCTGGAAGCCTGCCTGTATAACCGACTCCGCGCAGTTTGTTCTGAAAAAAAGTTACAGCCCACAAAAAAATCAGTTTTTCGGTAACTTTTCTGCCAGTTTTCAAGTTCTCTGAACAAATATCCAAAATCTAATTTCCCAAAAGAATTTTTGGAAATCAGAAAGCCGAGTTTTTGACTTTTTGACCGTTTTTTGAATATTTAAGATTTTAGAAAAACTTTGAGATAAAGTTGAGACAAATTTGAGATAAAGTTGAATCGAAATAACTGGTTGCGAGAACTTTTCCTGCAAAAACGTCGACCCCATTCGTTTTTCTTTTGAAAAAGTTTAGTTTTCGTTAAAATTTCCATCTCACTTATTTTAGAACTCAAACAACAAGTGTTTTGGAAGTTTGATATTACTCATTCCATCCCGCGTGCGTAATGGAAGTTCAAAAAATATATCAATTAGAAACCTCCAGCTTAGCCTGGGCCACCAATTTTGTTCCATCGAGATAAACGAAAATTTTGGCTCTCCTAGTATAAAAAAAATAATAATTCACGTTTTTTTGTTTGTTGTTTTGCAATTGCTACCAAGCTCCGTTTTGTCTCTGCGTTAGTTTTTGGATAGGCAGTGTCTTGTGATTGGGGACTAGACTTTTTTTTACCGTAAACAACAATTACAAACTTTTACGAAATTGAGCTTTCATTTCATTATTAGTGAGCCTTTGTAACTCAGTCTCCTTCCCTCATGCTCTGGAGGTAATGCAGTTGCCTTGGCACCCTATGGCCTGGGTGCGATAAATAGTAAAAGCGTAATTAGTGTTAGAGACTGGTATTTGAGTAAGAGACTATTTTTCTGAAATAAAGTTTTTCACAAAAAAAAACAATTTATTGCAATTTGAACAATTTATTTCCGACTTAGCTTAAACGTTTTTTTTTCGACTTAGATGTTTGCGTATTTCTTCGCTAGCTAGCAATGCTATGTTCGTGTTTTATTGAAAGTCATGCGAAGCTGCGTATCGCCTCTGTGTATTTTTTTGATGCAAATTGAGATTCAGTTAGAAATCGTGACATCGAATTATTGAGAGATCTAAATAGCTAGTTTGCTATGGAATATTTACAGCAGCAAATATGAAAACCCAATTTCAAATCAAGAATATCCCGGATTACTTTCTATTTGACGAATTACTTATCAGACATTTTCATACAAAAAGATTTTTTTCCGGAAAAATGCTTGGCAACCAACTTATTACACTTGCGAAAGCAAGTGTCTTGTAGTTGGGAACTAGAGTTTTTTCTCCCGTAAACAACTTCCCATGCACATTTTTATCTTGCAGTACTGAATTAGAAAAATTTCCAATCTTTTTTTTGCAGTTGGAGCTCGAATCTCGGACGGATATGTTTTTTTTTTTCAGTAAGTACGCAATTGAAATTTTTTTCCATCAAAAGTTTGCTTATCGGACTCTCGTTAATCTGCTCAACTTTTTTTTTGCTTAATTGCCATATTACGGTTTTTCTTGTGCTCTAAGCAATTATCATGGTAGTTGCTAATGTTGTTCGTTTTAGTTTCAGGGGGAATTGAAATAGAAAAAAATGTAAAATCTTTTTCTTTCGGCTTAATTTGTGTCTGCTCTAAGTTTGTCTGCTTTGTTTCCGCTCCGTGAGTTTTGTGCCGTTGGTAGTTTAGAATTCAAAAGTCTTTTTTGGTATGTTTGCCTAGAATTCTTGTTTGGTAAAAATATAGTATTATGAAAACGTGTAGTGGGTTTTAATTTATTTTTTTGAGACGCCTTGGAAATTTTTCCATTTTTTGCAAAAAAAAGTTTACGTTTTTCTCGGAAAGTATTCAAAGTTATCATGAAAACAAAAAAAGGTTTTATCGAAAGCTATAGTCAAAAGGGTAAAGTTAAAAGAGACAAGAGGAGTAGGCCGGTACCCAGGTGAGTAATTACCGATCTGCCTAAAAGGGTATCAAAAGAAATACCACCCAAGAAATACCACCTTTGTCGCAGAAAAGAGCTGATTTTTTTTTCCTTTGATTTTTTCTAAGATTCAAGTAGTGGGAAGCTCAGCTTAATGCCTGTGTTCAATATATACTAATTTTGAGGGGGGAGCGCGCGCCGAAAAAACGCTGTTTTTTGGTAAAACTTTTTCAAAATGTGCCCAAAAACGCCTTTTTTGGCCTCTTTTTTCAAAATTTTGCCGGCGGCGCAAAAATTTCGGCCAAAACAAGGCATTGGCAGTGCTTTGGGAGAGCTCAAAAAATTATTTTGGTCGACCTAAAAAGAAAGGTTGACAAAATTTTTGAAATTTTTTGAAAATCCGCCCCCCTCGAGAAAATCCTAGATCCGCCCCTGATTTCTGCAGACAAGCTTTAAAATTTTTCTAAAAGCTGCGTTAATAAGCAGTTATTTTGACTAGAGCTGTTGTTAGTCTGTTTTTTCTCGTTTCTTTCATTGAAAATGGAAATTATTTCTTGCGTTGCGTTTTAGCTTTTTTTCATTTTTTTTCATTGCAAAATCAATTATCACAACCAATCATTGAAATAGGTCGAATAATATATCATATTGAAGCATGTTCAGCCGTGAGTTTTCTAGTAAACGCTTATTTTTAGCGCCTTTGTGGTAAAAAAAAGTTCAAAAAGAAAAAAATGTCTGCTAAAAACTATCATTTTGAACTGTTTTTTGAATTTAAAAAAACTTCTAGTTACTCTTTGATGAAAATTGTTGTCAATTGTAATTTAATCGAAGTTCTAATGCTTTGGTTCAGATCATCTCATCGCATCACCGACAAAACGCTTGGAAAATTGATTATATTTACTAATTTTTTTCCATGTGTTCGGAAGTTTCTGTGCTAAAAGCAGCGCTAAAAACTGATGTAAAAAAAGGGTCTTCATTATGTTTTCGAAAAGTTTTTTGATCATACAAAGTTCATTTTAACTCTTACTTCGATTTCAGAATGTTGGAAGGACTGGTTTTGCTTTCAGCGCACTTTTATCGGTTTCATATGCTAGGATAAAACTAAATATGTCGATGAATAGGTTAGCTTTGATGGCAAATCTCAGAATGCAGTTCATCTGTAACATTTTTGCAGCCTAATTTAAAGGTTTCCCAGTATGAAAAATAAATAGTTCTTGTGTTTTCGGACTAAGCAAAAAAATAAAGCAAAACACTTTTAATCTTTCTCATCTGGAAAAACTTCGGGTCAAGAGAAGTTTAAGAAAAAAGCGTTTCATCCAATGCATTATTATGGCAAAATGGTTTTCTCACACTTCCACAGTATTAAAAAACACTTGTCTGACCATTAGAAAGTTTTTGCAACTGCTCTTCTAAACGTTTGCAGGTTTGTTTGATTGAGGCGATTAATCTAAAATTCCGACCTTTTTTCGT